CCGCAGCAGATTTAAGTAAATTAAAATTTAATGGTAAAACGTGTGTGCGGTCATTCAAACAGCGCGTTGATGAATTTATAGTTGCACGGAATATAGTACATTCAAAAATATTAGCTTTTGCTACAGAAATTTTTCAGGATGACGCTCTTCACTGGTACCGCTCGGTAAAAGACAAAGTTTCCTCTTGGTCTGAGCTCTCTTCTAAGCTCAGAGAAGACTTTGATCAGTCGGATTACGACTACCGCCTTAAATCAGAAATTCGATCGCGCACTCAGGGAGAACGTAAGAACATAACCATTTATCTCTCGATTATGAGTGGAATGTTCTCCCGTCTCTCAAAGCCTTTTATCGAGGAGGAACAGCTCGAAATCCTGCTTCATAATATAAGGCCTTGTTATGCCAGCACATTGGCCGCATCAGTGACTCAAATTGACACCGTAGATGCCTTACGTACACTTTGTCGTAATTACGAGATTGTTCATTCTAGACTTCTGCAATTTCATGAGCCTCCTAGGGTGACTTCTGAAACCGTTGCACCTGAATTTGCATATTCTAAAGAGGCAAATAAGGAAACTAACAGATTTACGAATAATAAACAAAATTTTACATATAAAAATAATTATAATAAAGGACACTTTTCAACAACTTTAATCAACAAAACCAAAACAAAGTTCAACAACACAGTTACAATAAAAATCAACACCAAAATTATATACACTCAGTTCAAACAGATAAACAACAACCATAATGCCCTAGGTGTCGCAGTAACACACATCACATCCGACAATGTACAGCGAATCGTGACGTATTTTGTTTTAAATGCGGATTGAAGGATATAAAAACACCTGAGTGTCCAGTATGTAACAAAAATAATAGTTCAAAAAAACTAAATAAGCAGAATTGTAGTCATTTTGATAAGGAAGACTGGGAATCTTGGCTTTCATTTATTAGAACATTTACTTCTACTTCTAGAATTTCTACAATTCTGCATACGAAACCTACAAATGACTCTAGGCCTTATGTAAATATTAAAATTAACAATGTCGACGCTTGTGGTCTACTCGATTCTGGTGCTGCAGTAACAATTTTAGGCAATAATTCCCATTTACATTTTATTGATTGCACTTTGCAACAGGATGACAGCGTTTCAATGTTAGCTGCCGGCGGACAATCTTTAAAGAGTATCGGTTACATGTATTGACCCGTTACTTTCGAAAGCCAACTACATGTAATTAAGGCATATGTAGTCCTTGAAGTAGAAACTCCTATTATATTAGGCATTGACTTTTGGCGTATCTTCCAAATTTGTCCGAAATATGTATATAGGTAGTATCACTATGTCTAAGAGCCCATTAGCTGAAGTGAAATTACATAATTCACAAACTTTCATTAATTCATACGACCAATTAATAGCTTCGCAAAAATCAATAGCAGACAATATTATCGCTCAATTTAAGTCTATATCTATAGAGGAGAAAGGTCTAGGTAGAACAAATTTAATCTCCCACAGAATAGATACTGGAGACGCTCAGCCCATAAGGCAGCGTTATTACAGAATGTCTCCAGAGAAACAGCTCATTTTATTAGAGCAGGTTGATGAAATGTTAGCGCTCGACGTTGTAGAACCTTGCGAGAGTGCGTGGTCTTCTCCAGCGCTTATCGTGAATAAGAAGAATGGACAGCCCAGGTTTTGTCTCGATAGTCGGAAGCTCAACTCTGTGACAAAGAAAGATGCATATAATTTGCCCTATGTCTCAGAGATTCTGGACAACCTACGCGACGCAAAGTATCTTTCGAGCGTAGACCTTTCGAACGCTTTTTGGCAGATTCCTATAGAACCTCAGGATCGCGATAAGACTGCGTTTTATGTACCAGGCCGAGGCAGCCTACGGTTTAAAACCACTGCTTTTGGTCTGACGAACGCACCAGCCACTCAGCAGCGCTTAGTAGACCTACTTTTCGGTGACATGGAGACAAAAATATTTGCGTATTCGGATGACATTGTAATTATAAGCTCGACTTTCGAAGAACACGTGTCTCGTCTTTTGCGTGTCCTAGAGAAATTGAAACAGGCCAACCTGACAGTAAATTTCAAAGAAAGTAATTTCTTCAGAAGCGAACTTAAGTACCTGGGATACGTAGTAGATGCTCGTGGTCTACGCACGGACCAGGAAAAGGTGCAGGCAATCTTAAATTTTCCAGTTCCTACAAGCAAAAAGGAACTGAAACGCTTTCTCGGTACCGCTACTTGGTACCGACGTTTTGTTCCTAATTTTAGTACAGTTGCTGGCCCACTTAATAAACTAACTTCAAATGGGAAAAAATCACCTCCTTTTCAGTGGACGCCGGAGGCTGATACAGCTTTTAATGCTCTTAAGGAGTGTCTTGTCTCTGCACCAGTCCTCTCTTGCCCGGTGTACACTGAGCCCTTCCAGGTCCATACGGACGCTAGTAATTATGGCATTGGAGCCATGTTAACGCAGAATATTGATGGTAAAAAGCACCCCATTGCCTACATGAGTAGATCTCTTTCCGGTGCCGAGAAAAACTACAGTATCACAGAAAGGGAGACGCTTGCTGTGATATTTGCTCTCGAGCACTGGAGATGCTACCTCGAAAATGTCCTAAAATTCGTGGTGTACACTGACCATTCTGCGTTGAAATGGTTCCTGTCATTAGATAATCCCACTGGAAGACTAGCGCGTTGGGGAGTACGGTTATCTTCGTTTAATTTTGATTTAAAACATTGAAAGGGCGTTGACAATGTGATACTCGATGCTCTTTCACGTGCTGTTCCCGTTTTTCACAGATAAAAACAACTCCTTATTTCGGCTTTCAAAAAATAAATCAAATTTCACCTCTGAGTTCGCATGGAAAGAAGTTGTTCCTATTGAATTCCGTGAAGAAATCTTAAGTGAGAACCATTCTGTACCAACAGCTGGCCATCTCGGTATTTTCAAAACTTATAATCGTTTGGCATTATCATATTACTGGCCTGGTATGCATCAAAGTGTTGTAAAATACGTAGGCTCTTGTTCAGTTTGTTTAGCGTATAAGCCGCAAAATCACACTACATTGGGAGAAATAGGTCGTCCGAAGCAGTGCTCACGCCCTCATCAAATGATCTCAATTGATTTTGTAGGTCCTCTGCCTGTCACTCGTAAGCAAAATAGCTACATGCTTGTCGTAACCTGCTGTTTCAGTAAGTATTGTAATATTTTCCTTCTACGTCGCGCTACTGCAGATGCAGTCGTAAAAGTATTAGAAGACTCGATATTTTTAGTTTATGGTATACCACAAACTATCTTTTTAGATAATGGCAGCCACTTTATTAGCTCAACTACTAAAGCCTTGTTTGAAAAATATAAAGTCCCTAATGTATATTTCAGTCCTAGGTACACATCAAAACTATAGTCACCAGCCTATCAACCTTCGTTGAAAATGATCATAGGTCCTGGGACACTTTCATTCCTCAGGTGCAATTCGCAATTAATAATTCAGTAAATGAAGCTACTGGGTACACGTCCTCTTTCTTAGTGTACGGCAGGAAGTTAGTGTTATGCGGATCGCACTATACGGACTCTGACTTAGGTGACGAAGTTTTGTTCTTACCACGCGATTTATACGCCGAAAACCGAGGTTGTCTCTTTTCAATATTCAATGATGTGCTTTTCAATATTCAATGATGTGCAAGCCTCATCGTGGAATGCACATGTGAAGAATACCGCACACTATAATTTGCGCAGAAAACAAGCTGGGCAATACAACGTAGGCGACGTAGTCTTTAAGCGTACATACATATTGAGCGATAAAGACAAATACTTCAGTAAAAAGTTGGCTCCAAAATACATTAAATGTCGTGTAATTGAAAAACGATCGCCACTTGTATATGTCCTAGAAGATATGTCCGGACAAAACATAGGTGTTTGGCATATCAAGCACCTAAAACTCTTCGGTAATAATAAGTAAAAGAAAACTCCTCTATAACATCTTGTTTCTAGCATGAGTCAATAGCTTTATAATAACTTCTGACTTTAAGTTTGATAGGACGCGCCAATGGCTTAAGTAATGCTGTTGATGCTTTTATGTTTGTTTTATTTTGAATGATAGAATGGAAGTTGAAGAATGAATGAGTAAATGCTAAGAGCAGTCTAAGGCGGGTTTTATTTAAGAACAAAACCCTTTTCCAGATGAGGAGGGGTGTATGTAACGTTATATGTTAATAATTCATATTATTACCCTAAACTACATTTAAATTTAATATTTACAATGCCTAAAACTAAATAATAACACTATTAGATTTAATTCTACACTAAAAACTACTTATAAAAATAAAACACAATTTTATTATAACTAAATTATTTACAAATCATAATAATATTAATAATCAAATTGGCTATTTACAATAATAAAACAATTCACAGACACTAAAATGCAACATAAATTCATCAAGCGGATTTGTATACGTAAACTCGCGCGATGCAACATTTTAGCGCTCCAAGCAGGATCTTTTGTTCTCGCTAAGCTAAAACTGCATGACCGGCCGCCCACCATTTCATTTCATTTCTCGATCTAATTTGAGTGAACGTACGTCACATAGAATTGTTTTGGTCTCTAATACGGGAAAAAATTAATAATCTTTAAAACTCGTAACCATAATATAATATTTTTCGTGATCGTCGCTAAGCGTTCCTCAAATAAATAACACGATAAATTATTGTGAAGTGAGTGTCAACCGCCCCGAAACTGGGGTTGTAGAAACAATGTAGAACAAACATAGAACAACCCAGAACAACCTGGATAATGAAAAAAGAAAAAGTAACTGGGCTAACTTCCCAGAGGTCAGATAGGCGCTACGATTTTATCGGCAAATCCGCTGTACATACCCTTTTCCCCAATTATTTAAATAGGAGTCTTTTAAATCGGAGCGGATGGTATTTTACGGTAGGTAACAAACTATTGTAAAAGATGCACTACCTGCCACTACGAATATACACAGTTCCTAATCTAAGTATCTACATACTTATGTCATCAATCTGATGTTTATATCTAATTTTAACCAAGACTTTAACTGTACTGAAATAAGTATAAACTGCATGTTTTTGTTACGCCTTACGCGTACCTTACACAGTAGGTAATTGCGAAAAACGGACAAGACAACTATTGCAACATGTCCACTACAAATGCGCTGTTGGTTAATATGGCTACTATGCCGCCATTTTGAAACGAGCGGCACACAATGCGGAAATGCAGTCGGCGGCTGCAACATTTTCTTACGATCGGGTAAGCGAGTTTCTCGGCTGGAGGTGTGCGAACCAACAATATCTACTACAAGCCATAAGCGGCGTAGCCACGGCGGGTGAAGTACGTGGCGATCCGCGCTCTAGGTGAAATTCCAATCGCAGGATTTAAAAACGAAAGAGGAAACATTATAGAAGTTTGTTTGTGGTTTATCGTTTTGGCGCGAACCATATACGCGCCTTAAAAGTGGCAGTGACTTTTTGATTTTTATTTTATTTCTTTTTTTTTACATACACATACCACACTTGTGTTGTTGTGACATTTTTTTTCAAAAAAATACCCTCGACTTGGATTTTACTAGGAAGATCGCGGTAAGTTATGCACCTATATATTTCTCTTGTTAATTAGACACGTGCGAGTAGGAACATTTTATATAACGTCCACCACTACGTTGCGAGGCAAAGGGATTTTCAACGTTTTATTCAGCATCGGGGAAAAGTAAAAGTTTTGACAGTGTGTTGACGAATTCCGTTGTGGTTTCGGTTTTGCTTGGGTAATGTTAGCGCACTAAGAAATCAAGGTAAGGTGAAAGTGACCTAGCTATGAATGGAGCTCAACAGCCGCAGTGATCGTCGTGTGGAAGACGCCTCAGTTACTGAGTAGGTACATACAGCTAGACATACGCGAGTCAGTTCCGGATGTAACAACAAGTGGTATACTGATGAGTATTTTATCGAAGTTGCCCATCGATGAGGTAAACTAAGTGTTTTTAGGGACAACCTGAAAACAACATGGAAATGTATTCGATTTTTATTATATTTTGAAAAGAAAACAACACTTGAAACAAGAATTTACATCGTTGTAATATAAGATGATCAAAAAAACGTGATGAAAATAATAATTTCTTCTTCCTTCCTTTTCAATTTTATTAATTTCTAAGTAAATTTATAGTTTTCTTAAATGATTTTTAAGTCTTACCTGTGCCACTTGTGTGATGTAAACAAGCTTAAAAGTTTAGTCGAGTTTTACCAATCAATGTCACCTGCCTTAATGTTGGTTGCAGTATTTATTTTTATCAGGGCACATTCTCAATCTCAATCTTACCCCTTCATGCCAATGGAAAACTCCTTAAATGCAAATTTATCAAATTCCGTAGCAAAAACCAAGATAAGTACAATAAAAAGATAGTTTATTCTGTAATAATGCTGAGTACTAATGAACTTTTATCATCCTGAATGCATTTTTAAAAACACCAATGGTGTCGAAGTTGTTTATTTCTTATTTATAGTATTTTTTTAAACGCTTTTGCCTGTGTTATGGAATAGTAAAGTTTAATAATTGCCCCTTATTATCGCGGTGTTACCCGCGGTTTATTAGCGATATTTTTCCCGCATTAAAACGTAGCCCATGTGTTAATCCAGGGTGTCAGCTAACTCCATACGATTAAAATCGGTCCAGCCGTTTAGACGTGAAGGAGTAACAAACATACACACTCAGATACTTTCGCCTTTATAATTAGTGTGATTTCATTCTCCTGTCAATTCAGAGTCGAAGCGCATTGAAGCGAATTTCAGAAATAGTATAGACATAGCAAATTCACCATTATCTCCGCAACGTAATGCACATATTCCTTCTAAGCTGATAATTAGCGGAATCAAAAATCGAACACTACAAAACAGCAAACTGTGCTAGGTTCCGGTGTCGGTCGTCGCAGTGTTAGGCCGGGTTTCCACTACGCCGGACCAGCAGATTTGCCAGGCCGGTGAAACTGTCAGAAGGTGATGCCATGGCCACTGATGGTGTGCCAGCCGTTCCGATGGTAAGTCTGCAGTAGGTGGTGATAATGTTGGAGTTTTTCTTATTCGGTAGATTAGCTACTTTTAGCGACGGTTTTGACTGTGAGTCTTAAGCGTAGTACCCAGTATTTCTGGCGAATCTCGTTTACCACAGATTCATTATTCGCGTGCGTCGGTGACTTGTGATAGTGATGGATTAACGGGCATGCGATTGAATGGTGTCCATCAAGTAAAACGGGATTATTCACATATTCACTGATGTTCGGCGGCGCGCAATTTTGACCCGCTAATCTCAACACGTAGTCTTCCCTAAACGGGGAGCGGGGGCAAATTAGTAAGAGTTGCCGACAGCAGTCGAGTTGCCGACAGCAGTCGCATCCCTCGTTGCTACTTAAGCGTTGACATTTTCGAACAAGAGATACACTATACATGTTCTGTAATGCGAGTGAGGCTTATTGGCGCCTTATACTGCGAAATTGCGGTAAGTGTCAATGAAAGAGAACAGATTTTTAATTAAATCTTTTGGGTGGGATTTTTTTGGGTCCATGATAATTTGATCAAGTATTTCTTCTTACCTAAAAACTTCAATGGCGAAACCTACGAGGACTTTTTAAGGGAGGAAGTGAACATGATAGATGTGCCACTGGTTACAAGAAGAGCTTTTTCCGAGGTGTGCGACAATGGCTGGATGTCAATTATCCACTGAGATTGATGTCAAGGTGGCCTGATACCATAGCCGGCGAGAAGTCCGGCGAAATAAACATTTCTCTGCGTACACGATAAGTCGCCAGTGCTCAGTCACACACGCAGAGTGTTATGAAGCTTTGTCTCTGTGCAGTTTAATGCGCCTTTCTCACCGGATTCAGTTCGGTATCGTTTCGTCGTTTTTGTTTTTGTAGAGTGGCAGGACGGACGAGTTAAATGGTTCGGTAGTACTCGGTAGTACTCGGTACAGAAATCTGTGTATCCGCTCGGTAAAGAATATGTAGCGAAACGACTCATTGTGGAAGCTCTTATTTAATTGCATGCGGTAAAGACTCTCTACAGATTCGGTACAGAACCAAAAACGAAACGAACCCGCACCGGCCCGGAGAAGAAGGTGCCTTACTTACTTACTACTGCGGCGCGAGGATCCAAAGTGGATTTTGGCCTCCGCCACAAGATACGCCATGCTCTGCGATTCCTGGCTAGGTCTCGCCAGCAGTCGGCACTGAAAGACTGCAGGCAAGTCCTTCTGCACCTCTTTGCTCCAGTGATATCTGGGACGTCCAACCGGTCGCCGTCCTATCGGTCGCCCCAAATACGCTCTTCTCTCACGGATCAATCTTCTCTCATTCTCTCTACATATCCGAGCCAGCCAAGTGTAGCCTCTTTAATTCAACCTGTAAGGCTCGGACAATAGATTTTCCAGCTCGATTCTCACTCTCCAACTGCCATCCTTTCTTTAAGTCGGCCCCAGGATCTTCCACAGAATCTTTCTTTCGGCGACTAACAGCTTATACCTCTCTCTAAGAATCAGCGTCCTAGACTTTAACCGTACCTCGTATCATTTGTACATAAAGACCAGTCTAAACGTTGTATTGTAGATCCGAATCTTGTTCTTTTATACTAATAGCTTGGAAACTAAGATCTTGTGAAGAGCACCTAGGCACCTGAGTGCGCCTTGGATACGGGTGTCGATCTTCTCCTCTTCTCTTCTGTTAATGTGTGTTACGTACAGCCCCGATATTAAAATTCACTGACGGCCTTGTAAGTGATTCCTTTCACATTCAGATCTTTCCGTTTCTCTCTCGTGTTTTTGTATCTTTTCATGTGAAAGTACTCCTAAGGTGCCTAACTTACTCATATAATGATGCTTATAGGGGTGCAATCTGTGCGTCCCTTTTAAAAAGAAGTATGGACGTTTCATATTCTGCCAGGCGTCCAGGGATATCTTGCTCTATTACTAGACACATTTTTCTTAACATTGTTTATTTCAACGTAATAACACAGCATTATACCGACGCAATACTCGTTCCATGGTAATAGTAATACCACATGATTGCTCCGCCGCCGACCACATCTCGCCCCATATTCTGTTATAAACGTCATTATTTCTAAGCGATGCTTACTTAAGAAATCTTTTATAATATTATGATTAATTTATAACAGTAATGTACTTTGGACAGGGTCAATAATTTTTCCTAAGGAAAGGAAGAGAACACAGAGGAAAAAATATTTACGGGCGATTTGAGATCGGGAAGGTGGGGCGATACCTTATATCAACTGTAATTACAATTGTAATAACAAAATTTGTAGATCAATTTTTATATTTACAATATTTTCACATAATCTCTATAAATATCTAAAAAGAAATTTTGTGAAAACTTACTTTTTTATATTTTAATTCATTTGCCTATAATCATCACAGAAAAAAAATATAGTATATTTTTGGTTAACTATCAGAAAATAGAGGTTCCAATGAACCTAAAGAGTACACATTTTTTTAAAGCAACCTTTTTGACGTGAGATTATTTGATTTTACGAAAAACGGAGTAAAAATAAATAATTTGTATGAAACAAATTAAAGCATGTTTGGGATATAAAAGGGTAATGACCATGAAATATCGTGGAAAAATATCGATTGTAGGAGATAATAATAATAAACCAAAAAGTCGGTTATTTAGATTTTTCAAAAATATTTGTAGGTTACGTGAAAAGTGTAAATACAATGTTGTATCACTTTTGATAACCTACAATTATGCCATTTCAATTCTTTCGATTAGAGTAGTGGATTTCCAGGTAATCTCGATAATCCGGTTCCCCTACTTGAAAGGTACCCCGAACCCTATCCTCCCCGACCTCAAATCACCCGTAAATAATTTTTCTTCTTTTTTTAAGTCTTCTCTACCTTTTTAAATGGGTTTCATCCTGTTATGAATTTTATCTACTTTTACCTTTTTCAGAAGCATATGCCTTGGGCTATTAATATATTTTATTAGTAAGGCAATTTTAGCAATGGTTTATGATTTTTCACACCGTTTGTTTTACTCAAAATTTCTGAAGAAATTCAGCAATATATATTATATATTTTTTAAAGAAACTGTCATTACTCAACGAAATCACGAAAAAAAAAATCGTATTCATTATTATTCTTTTCCAAACCAATCCAATATGGCGTAAGGTCAATTCGCGGGAATCATGCCGTGACACATACGTACAAACGCTTGATTTTAATTGGACACAGTCTAATAAATAAACAAACGATGTAATGAAAACAATAATTGACATTATATCAATTGGTCACATTATTAACAATAAGCGATAATGACTACATACTGGTTTATGCACTAAAGAAATAAAAAAAAAAGCGACTGTGGTAATTTTTTTATAGAAATAATCCGTAAAAGAACAAATAGCTTCAAAACATTTTAGTAAGTAAAAATAAAATTAAAATTGTCATCATGTTTTGTCAACCTCTTCACTAAGTACACTTAAAAAGACATATTTTTTATTCTCCAGAGGTATTTCTGTGAGAAACATTTTTTTTGAAAAGAACTTTCTTTAATAATTTTGTCTATATTGACAGCAAATTG